CAGCTCCCACCAGCCCAGGCTTCTCAGGACATCTTCAGCCCCCTGCCTGGCTTCACACAGCTGGCTGGGTTGGTTGGTTGGTTGGTTTTTCAGCTGGCCATTTTAATTGGATTGTCCTGGCATCTGTTATACTGCCAATTCTGGTTACATAGTCCCCACCACGTACATGCTGTTTCTCCCCGGGCACACTCTTTACTTTCCTGAGCTCTTGTCCTCATCTGTAAAAACGGGGATCATGCCCACCTCATAAAGGTCTGGTGTAGCATGCCTGCACGTGCTGTCGCATGGCGAGCACTTGGGGATGGCAGCTGCTGGAAGCATGCTTGCCAACACCAAAGGAGATAACCTGAGGTCCCCTCAGTGATCTCCCTGGCTTCCTGTCCCTACCATGTTGGCCACCAGTTATTTTTAGGTCACAATGTTATATTTAGTCACCTGGGCCCTCTCCTTCGTTGCTTCCTTCTGCTAGTGGAGGATGAAATTTCCCTCAACAGTTTCATCATCTGTGTGTTGATCAAATAGTGCAAGTCTCTCATGACCCCTGTCGTTCACGGAGTGGCTGTGCCAGGGTCCTCGGCACGTGTGCCGTCCTGGGCTTTTCCCAGCTCCCCAGAGTGACGCCTGAGAGCCCTCCGCAGCAGCTCCTGCCCCCTCTGCCTACTCTCTCCCTGCAGACTGCCCAACCTTCCTGAGCCCCTGTGGACTTGTACGCCTCTGGGAGTGCTTCCTATTGTTTCCTCGGCCCGCAGGGCCTGTTGGCCTCCTTCATTTGCCTTCAGTTGTCCTGGGCTCGGTGCTACCTTCCGAGATCTGCCCAGGGCTTCCCTGGCTGCCACCACACGTTGGCATAACCAGGATTATTGGATGTAGACACTGGAATTCAGGGAAGCTGTCCCTGAAAGCTCCACATCTTTGGTAAGGAGAAAGCCTGGTACCCGAAATCTAGGCTCCTGGATCCAGGTACCCACCAAATGATTTTTCAGCTATCTAAACCTTTTGAACCACGGCGCTCTCATCTAAAATGAGGATTAGAGGTTTAGGGTATCTACCTCAGACTGTCATGGAGATCAAATGGGGTAATTTTTTTTTTTGGTACAAATGAGATATATCCTAAACATAGGACAGCCCTAATACATGTTGGCCGATTTTTCAGGAAGTGGGAGATTCTGAATGTTGACATAATGATGCACATTAATAAATCCCAAAGGAAATTGAGAAATACATGTTCTCTATCTTGGGAGTGCTCAAATTTCGTGAGATTTTTTAACAAGGATCTATACACACAGGATATAGGCTTATGAAAAATTTCAGCACTGTGGGAAAATGCTTATGTCGTAGTGACCGAGAAAAATAGGGTTCAGAGTTATGCATACAGACATGCAACACACACAAAAAGACCGGCAGGATCTTGTCTATAATTTGTGTGTATTGTTTGAGTAGATAATCCATTTATGTGGCTGTAAATTTCAAAGGTACATAGAATAGTCTCCCGCTTCTGCCCACATACTCCGCTCCCCTCCTGTGGACAATCCATATTACCATTAAAAGAAAAATCCTTCCAGAGATATTTAATGCATAGCACATACTCTGTTCATGAGTATATTCTGGTTCTCCCAATACAATGTCACTTAGGAGCATATACTCCAGATCGGTATCCCTAGGCAACCCAACCAAGAGGAGAATACCCCAAATAAAAGATGTTATTAAAGTATTTTCCTGTCGTCAAGGGGGAGGTATGCCATGGATGTTTTCATGCATTCAGCCTAACTGGTGGATTTAGCTTTTCACTTGTGTTTAAATATTTCACGCTAGGGGTGCCTGGGTGACTCAGTCGTTAAGCGTCTGCCTTTGGCTCAGGTCATGATCCCAGGGTCCTGGGATCGAGTCCCACATCGGGCTCCCAGCTCAGCGGCGAGCCTGCTTCTCCCTCTGACCTCCCCTCTCATGCTGTTTCTCTCATTCTCTAATACATAAATAAATAAAATCTTTAAAAAAAAAAAAAGAATTAAGTAGCATGATCTCTATTAAGTGCGTAATTTAGTGCGTGATGCATAGCGCATGTGCAGTAGTAACTGCTTGTTACTAATAGAACCATTAGTGGATCTCATCAACTCACACCTCAGAGAAGGGTCATTTTGGGGTTGGTCTTCGCTGAATGACACCAGAACTCTCCAAGTGCTTCAAAAGTTTGGGAAAGGACAGGGACTGTCACCCCCCCCACCCTACGCCCCTACCATCCTCATCCGCCTGTAACTCCCTAGCTGTCAAGGTTGAAGGCAGAGGGCTGGGCTGCGTTGTTTTGGGGCCAGCACACCCCTGGGTAACGTGTGTGGGCAGTTGCTTCACTCCTGTCATCCACGCTTATCACAGAATTGTTTTGAACTTTATTAGATGACTTTGTAACAAAACCTCTTCTGCCACAAAACATTAGGATGGTATTTCACTAGCCTTGTGGGATATTCATACTGATTTGATTTTGCTTTTGAGGAGGCACCTTAGAGATGTTATACTACAGAAAACAAAAAGATCTGTTACCTATTCTCAAGAAGATCCTAAAAGTGGCCAAAATGAATAGAAAAGAAGAAACCTGCAGAAAATGAAAGCATTTTCTGGAGTACAGCAGTTACAAGAGTGGGCTCTGGAGCAGGACAGACAGCCTAGTTATTGCTGCATAACAAATTACCTCCAAAAATAGTGGTTTGAAACAAGCAATATCTATTACTTCGTGGTTTCTCTGGGTCAGAAATCTGGGTATGACTTAGCTGGGCATGTCTGCTTCAGATCTCTCCTGATGCTGCGGTCTCATTTGAAGGTTCAAGTAGGCCAAGGTCACCATTCGAGCTCCCTCACTTGTGTGGCCACTGGTGGGATTACAGTCCTCATGGGTTGCTGGTTGGAGGCCATCCTTAATTCCTAGCTCCGTGGGCCACTCCATAGGCTGCATCACAACGTGGCAGGTGGCTTCCATCCCACTGAGCAAGCAACGGAGGGCGAGAAAGGATGTGCACAGGCTTTTAGTCACCTCATCTCAGAGGCAATATCCCTTTGCTTTGGCCACATTCTGCTGGTTAGAAGCAAGTCATCAGGTCCAGCCCATGGGGAGCAGATTCTACCAGGGCATGAATCCCCAGAGGTGGGGACCACTGGGGCCATTTTAGAGGCCCCGTCCTTCAATCTGCCCTCTATTCCCCAATGGTTCCTGTCCCCCTAGCATGCAGAATACACTCACCCCCCCCCCCAAGATCCCCAAACGTCTTACCCCATTACAGCATCCACTTCTGAATCTCGTCATCTGAATCAGGTCCAGGTGGGGATGAGGCTTTTGAGGACAGATCTCTATTATGTACTGCTGCATAACAAATCACCCCCCAAACTTGGAATCTTAAAGCAGTAGACTTTCCTATCTCACAGGATGGAGGGATCACCAGGAGCCATCTTAGGGGCTGCCTACCACCACTGTCTAGGTTCACATCCTTGTCCTGCGACATACTAGCTGTGTGCTCTCACTTCCCTTTTGTGTGCTTTTGGCTTTTTTTTTTTTTTAATTTATAAAATGAGTCTAATCCTATTACTTACCTAATAGGGATGATGTGATGATTAAGTGACATAATTTGTAAAGTAATTTACACATTCCCTGGCAAATAGTAAATGCTCAATAAATGCTAGTCATTTATAATTAATGCCACTAGAATTGTTACTATTTTTCCAAAGAAAAACTTGGTAAGCTTTCTCAGAATGAGGAGAGAAAAGGATAAAAATGGAGAGAAATGGATAGTCCTTGAATACAAAAGGTAGGAATCCAACCTCAAACTGGTAATGGTTCTTCAAGGAGTCCAAGGAGATCAGAGCAATAATGGTTAAGTTTAAAAAAACAAGACTACTAAACAAAAAGTATTTGATTAAAGCAGTGATTAAAGTATTTTGCATGGCCCATGCACTATTGGAATATTGCAATAAGGTGGGGATGTGGGGAGACATGTAGTTTGGATAAGGCCCTATAGGATTAACTGGATCGACCTGTAATCAGACCTTTTCATTACTGACTGCAGGCCAGTCCAGTTTAGAAAGTCATTAAGAGAGCCTGTGAGCACATTGTCTATATAGAGTGGCAACAGCTCAGGGGTTCATGGACGGCCTGGACCAGCTGTAGGCCTGAGTGGGATGCCCTTCTCTGTGTACTATGGCCAGCTTGAGAGGGAACGGGTCATTTACCTCCTCGGCTCTGTCTCCCCATCTGTACCAGGTATAAAACAAAGGGGCCGGCTAGAAGGTGTCTGAGAGAGTTTTATACTAAAACCTAGATTCAAGGTCAGGGCTGTGCCCTGCAGCGTGTGGACAGATGGGTTGAGTAAATGTGGCTGAGCTGTACCCCCACTGAAGTGGGACTCCAGCTATAAATGGAGTATGCCCTGCCCCTGCCTGGCCTCCAGCCCTAATGTTCCTCCTTCTCGTTCCTCACGGCAGGCCAAGTGCAGGAACATGGAGCACGCGCTGCGGGAGAAAGCCAAGGCCTTCTGGGCCATGAGGCGATCCTACGAGGCCATTGCCAAGCACAATCAGGTGAGTGCTCCGGCTGGGCGGGGAGATTAGGGATACCTGGGTCAGTGGGAGAATTGGGGGGGGGAGAGGCGAGGGTGGGCCCGCCCTGACTGTGGGTGTTGACCCAGATGCAGCCTGCCTTAGCCCTGAGGGTCTAGCATAGTCACGTCCTAGGTTGCTGGTGGTGGCGGCCGCGTTGCCGTGGCCTCTCTGAATAGAGAGCCAGCAGCTGTGGGAGGGGCGTGAAAAGTGACCTGTGCGGTCTGCACGGTGGTTTCAGACCAGCTTGAACACGTGCCGCACTCGACCATCTACCCAGCTGCGCAAGCCACCGATGACCTGGGGCTCTTTAGTTATTCCTCTTTCCCTTTTCCTCCCCCGGTCCACTCCATCAGCGGTCCTGGCCTCTCTAACGGAAAGTACATCTTGTCCGCCCGACGCTGTGTTTCCCCCGCCACCCACCATCTTGGTCCTGTCTCCATTGTTTCTCACCCGGCCTCCTACTTGGGCTCCAAGCTTCCACTTTTTTTTTTTTTTTTAAAGATTTTATTTATTAATTCATGAGAGAGAGAGAGGCAGAGGCAGAGGGAGAAACAGGCTCCCTGCTCTGCAGGGAGCTGCCATGCAGGGCTCAGTCCCAGGACTCTGGGATCATGACCTGAGCTGAAGGCAGATGCTTAACTGACTGAGCCACCCAGGTGCCCCTGTTCTAACTTTTTAAAAAAGCTTTTTGTAGTTATGATTAGGGGTACGGATATTGTGAATGATTCAGCTTTAAAATAAGTGCTTTCTACTACTCTTTTGTTAAGCCTCTGCATCAGACAGATTTGAAGTCCTAAGATGGGAAGGCAGATAATTTTTAAAAGCCGTTGTTATTTACAACAGTTCGTTTCTGTGATTCAGGATTTCCCTTGCTATGGTGTACCCAGCCAAGATACAGAATATTGTGTGTTGAGGAAGATACAGATGACAGGTGTTATCAATAAGCAGATTTGATGTGATTTTTTTAATTTATCGAGACAACCTCATGCTGTGTGACTTTAAACTTAAAAATGTGTGCTAATAAAACTGCGTCTGTATTTTACCTGTTGGGGTTCCACCCACGGTTTCTGTTGAAAAGAGCGCTCCTTTGCTAGAAACCTGAGAGTCCTGAGGCCAGGTGCTGCCTGAGAGGTTCCCTCCGGGCCTGAGCCTCCGTGGCCCCGTCCTGCTCTGGGCTGTAGGTGGAGGCTGCCTGGCTGGAAGGGCGAATCCGGCAGGAGTTCGACAAGCTTCGCGAGTTCCTGCGCGTGGAGGAGCAAGCCATCCTGGACACCATGGCCGAGGAGGCGAGGCAGAAGCAGTGTCTGGTGGAGGAGAAGATGAAGCGGCTGGCGGAAGACACCGAAGCCCTGGCCCATGAGATTGAGCGGCTGCAGGTGGAGATGAAGGAGGATGATGTTTCTTTTCTCATGGTGAGGGGCTCGCCATCTGGCTTCAGGGACAGGGAGCAGGTGGTCGGGAGCCATTGGGGAGCCAGAGACTGGCAGGTGCTGGGTGGGGGTACTGGGCCGGAGGAGCCCCTGGAGGAGGTGCCCTGCTTGTCAGGAAGCCAAGGGGATTTTCAGCAGAGCGGGGTTCCTGAGGACTTTCTCACTTCTGTCTGCCTCTCCTTTCCTTGTCCCTCTCCCTGCCTCTCTTGTACTCTTGCACTCTATTTCTTCTCTTTCTACTCCTTAATACAGCAGAGTACCTTTTAAACAAGGTGGAAAAGTTGTGAAGGTAGTGCTGGGTGCCCCGTAGACCCCTCCTCCTAGGTCCTCCCATTGTTAACACCTTATATCGCCTCGTGGCGCATTTGTCCATAGAAACCTGACCTTGGTGCATTGTAATTAACTAAACTCCAGACTTATTTGGAGTCCACCATTTTTTGCATTAATATCCTCCTTCTGCTCCAGGATCCAGTCCGGGGACCTACATCGCATTTAATTGTCCTGTGCCCCGGTCTCTGCTGGTCTGTGACAGTGTCTTATTCTTTTTGTTTTTCATGACCCGAGGAGTGCTGGCCAGATAGCCTGCAGAGTGTCCTCCCACTCTGGGTTAGCCTGATGTTTTTTCCATAATTAGACAGGGGTTATAGGATTTTACAAAGAAGACAAAATGGAATATTCTAAAATTATACAATTATTTTAATTTTTAAATTTAAATATGATTTTTGGTATTCTCTGTTGCTTTCTTAAGAAAAGGATGACTCTATTCTCTCTTTTAAAAATACATGTTTCGTTCATTTTCTTTATTTCTTTTTGTTTTTCACCCCCCCTTCCCCTCTCCCCCCCCACCCCATGATTCTTATGGAGACGTGTCTGTAACTGGAAAGCTAGTTTGGAAATCAGTCAGGATAGCGAGCGATCTCCTTTACTTAGAGAACAGCTGAACTCTCTGGAAAAGGGAGACTTTGTAGAGTGGATTGAGAAGGGACAGGTACATCCTCCATTCAGGCCAGGTGTCACATCCTGGCTGGGGACTCTTGTGGGTTTTCTGCCTCACACAAAGCTTTGAACCCTGGTGTCTCCCGTCTCCAAAATGCCCCTGATGATAAAATCATTTGGTGGGTTCTAAAAGCTGGGTTCTTTGCTGTTTCTGTTCAGGAAATTGGGAGTGGCCAGGACCTATTGTGCTTTCAGGGATGCTTTTGTGACTTTTTTTAAATTTATATATATATATATATATATATGTAACAGCTTTATTGAGATATAATTTGTAACAGCTTTATTGAGATATAATTCGTCTACTGCATAATTCACTTATTTAAAATGTACAATCCAGTGGTTTTTACTCTATTCACAGAGTTGTGCAGCCATCACCACAATCAACTGTAGCACGTTTTGTCTCCGGAAACAGAAACCTCATACCCTTTAGCTGTCGCCCTCCTCTGCCCCCCACCCCCACCATCAGCCCTCAGCAAACGCTAATCTCCTTGCTGCCGCTAAGGATTTGCCTTGTCTGGACACTTCCATAAATGATTTCCATAAATGGAATCCTATCAGATGCAGCCTTTTGTGACTGGCGCTTTCACTCAGCATGTTTTGAAACTATATCCTGTTGCAGCATGTATCAGGACATGGCTGAATAATATTCCATTGTAGGGATACACTACATTTTATGTATCCATTCATCAGTTGATGGGCATTTGGGTTGTTTCCATTTCTGAGCTGTTAGGAATCACACCGCTATAAACATTCATGTGCAACTTTTTGTGTAGATGTACTTTTTCCTTTCTCTTGAGTATGTGCCTAAGGAGATTTACTGAATCATATGGTAACTAGTAAGTTCAACTGTTTGAGGAACTGCCACACTGTTTTCCAAGTGACTGCGCAGAGTTTATATTCCCATGAGCAGTGTATGAGGACTAATTTCTCCACATCCTTGCCAACACGGACCTTTTTACTTTCCTTTTTTTTTTAATGGACATTGCAGGGCTGTGAAATGGTATCTCATTGTGGTTTTAATTTGCATTTCTTCAGCTAATGCTGTTGAGCATCTTTTCAGGGACTTGCTGGCCATCTGTATATCTTTGGGGAACTGTGCGTTCCAGCCCTGTGTCCATTTTTTAAATTGGGTTGTTTGTCTTTTTCTTGTTGAATTATAAGGGTTTTTATATATTCTGCATACTAAACCTTTATCAGGTTTATGATTTATAAATAGTTTCTCCCATTCCATGGGTTATTTGTTCGCTTTTTGGGTAACTTCATTTGAAGTACAGAAGCTTTTCACTGTGATGGATTCTAGTTTATCTGTGTTTTATTTCCTGTTTGTGCTTTTGGTGTCATATCTAAGAAACCATAGCCTAATCCAAGGTCATGAGTTTTATAGGCTTAGCTCCACATTTAAGGCTTTGAGTTAATTTTTAAAATTTTTGTATATGGTGCAAGGTGAGAATCCAAGTTCATTCTTTTGCATGTGGATACCCAGTTGTCCCAGCACCGTGTACCGGGGACCATTCTTTCTCCATCGAATGGCCTTGGCACCCTGTAGAAAACCGATTGACAGTAAATTTGAGGCTTTACTTCTTGACTTTCAGTGCCCACTGGGCTATGTCTGTCCTTATGTTAGTACCACACTGTCTTGACAACTTTTGCTTTTAATACGCTTTGCCATTGGGAAATGTGAGCCACCAACTTTGTTCTTGTCCAAGATTGTTTTGGCTATTATTCTGGGTCCCTTGAATTTCCATATGGATTTTAGGATCAGCTTGTCAGTGTCTGCAAAGAAGCCAGCTGGAATTTTTGATGGGAATTTTATTGAATCTGTAGATCTGTTTGGGGAGTATTGCCATCGTAACAATATTAAGTCCTCTAATCCATGAACATGGGATGTAGGACTCCTTTTGAGGTCAGAAACTTACAGTTTTTTTTTTTTTTCCCTCTGTGTTTATGTCTCTCTCTCTCTTTTTTTTTTCTCTTTTAGAAACACAAAAGCCGAAAACGCCGGTAAGTTGCCAAGGCTGGTGGAGGGGAGGGGAAAAGCAGGCAGAAATACCGGGGGTGCCCATTGCAGTGGCTCCAGGGCCAGGCAGGTGATGAAGCCAGCTGGGTGGAACCCAGAGGGAGTGGTGGGGACTGGCCAGGTGGAGAGAGTCCTCTTTCAAGTCATCCCACTTCAACTGGGAGTGGTGAAGTGTTGTTTTCCTGAGTGTGGAAAATGACCATCCACTGTGCGGGGAGAGAATGCGTCATCCTGCACACGGCTTGTATTTCCCAGCGGGTCCTCCCAACATTTAGGCTTGTCTCTTGGTTAGCCTCTCTCCCTGAGAGAGGCTGGTTTGTGTTGATGGCTTTTGGGTTCACAGTGATGAACTATACTCCAGTCCGAGCTGCACAAAGATGGAAGAGAATGCTTAGGAAAGTAATGAGTTTCCTGTCACTGGAGGTGTTCAAGCAAAATGATACCTTCAGACATTGGGACTAGAGGACCCTTAAGGTCCCTTCTGCCTCAGACATCCCATGAGCAGATATATACGTATGACTTCTGCCCACAAGGATGGGACCTATGTCTGAGAACCTCTTATTTATATTTTTCCCAGCTGGGGCAGGTTGACCCTGCATACTGAATCCTGAGGAGCTGTGAGCAGCCTAGTTGGCTACTGGCTCCTGTCCCATCAGAGCCCAGCCCAGCTTTGTCTTGGGTAGGGTGGCCAGGAATGAGTCCTGTTGCCTGTTTCCTGCTCACCCAGTTAGGCCCAGGATGCCTGGCTTTGGCCCTGCCCACCCGGCCCAATTCTCCTTTTCCAGCCTCTTCTGCACCATGGAGCCAGAACCGGTCCAGCCCGGCATGCTCATCGACATCTGCAAATATCTGGACTCCCTGCAGTACCACATCTGGCGGAAGATGGTCACGTCTGTAGAATCCGGTGAGTGGGGGCGCAGCCAGGGGTTACAGTCAGAGAAGGCACTTCATGTGAGGCGGAGAACCAGCCAGACTCATTTCTTTCAGCTTCCCACCCTGTAGGGCCTTCTCCAGCCCCTTTCAGACAGGTCCCTTGGTGCCCTCTCCACCCCCTGCCCCACCGCTCAAAGCTCTCTTGGCAGAACCCCTTCCTCTTTGGGTCCTGACACTCGGCCACCTCTGCAGAAAGAGGAACCGGCTGCCCTCTCTTTTCAGAACGGTACTGTATAGGTGATGAAGGGACTGAGTGTTTGCATCCCCTTATATTCATACGTTGAAGTCCTAACCTCCGATATGATGGCATTTGGAGGTGGGGCCTTTGGGAGGTGATTGGGTTACATGAGGTCATGAGTATGGAGCCCCATGATGGGATTAGTGCCTTGATAAGGAGAGGCACCAGAGAGCTGGCTTCCTGACCCTCTCTCCCCCCTGTGAGGACATAGCAAGAAGGTGGCCATCTGTGAACAAGGAAGAGGGTGTCACCAAAACCCAACCACGCTGCACCCCAGTCTCAGACTTTGGTCTCCAAAACTATGAGAAAGACAGTTCTGTTGTTTAAGCCACTCAGTCTGTGGTATTTTTGTGCACAACCCAAGCTGACGGTGACGTCATGATTTTATAGAGACAGCTGTCAGTGACCCAGAGGAATGTTACGTGTTTCTCTCCATCATACGGGAGTTGTGTGAGCATCCAGGGTCCCTGCTTCTATTGGTTTCCTGTGGCTGCCGTAACAAAGGACTGCACATTGGATGCCTTCAAATGACCGATTTACTTGCTCACAGCCCCCAGAGGCTAGAAGTCCAAAATGAAGCTGTCAGCAGGGCCATGCTCCCTCTGAATCCTATAGGGAGAGCCTTCTTTGCCACTTGCTGGCTTCTGGCATTTGACGGCTGTCCTTGGCTGCCGGCTGTAGCCCTGTGATCTCGGCCCCTGTCGCCACCTGGCCGCCTCCCTCACGTGTCTGTGTCTCTTCTCCTTTGCTAAGGACAACAGTCATATTGGGTTAAGGTCCTACTCAACTCCTGTCTGATGTCATCTTAAGCACATCCTAGTCACGTGACCCCATTCCCAAATAAGCGTGCCTTCCGAGGCACTGACAGTTAGGACTTGAGCATCCCCTTTGGTGGGGCACGATTCAACCCGTGGCATGGCCCCTTGGGCCCCGACGGCTCCCTCTGGGCGCTGCGGCCAGGCGGGACGCAGTGGGTCGCTCTGGGGGGATGGCAGGCACCACTGGCATGGCAGAAGGGCGGCACGTGAGGTTTGCTGATTCCCCCCCGCCTCCCGCCTCTGCTCTCAGTGCCCTTCAGCTTCGACCCCAACACCGCGGCCGGCTGGCTCTCTGTGTCCGATGACCTCACCAGCGTCACCAACCACGGCTACCGAGTGCAGGTGGAGAACCCCGAGCGCTTCTCCTCGGCGCCCTGCCTGCTGGGCTCCCGCGTCTTCTCCCAGGGCTCCCACACCTGGGAGGTGGACCTGGGGGGGCTGCCGAGCTGGCGGGTGGGTGTGGTGCGGCTGCGCCAGGACGCTGGCGCCGAGGGCCACTCGCACAGCTGCTACCACGACACCCGCTCTGGCTTCTGGTACGTGTGCCGCACGCAGGGCGTGGACGGGGACCACTGCGTGACCTCGGACCCGGCCACGTCACCTCTGGTCCCAGCCATCCCTCGCCGCCTGCGCGTGGAGCTGGAGTGTGAGGAGGGCGAGCTGTCCTTCTACGACGCCGAGAATCACTGCCACCTGTACACCTTCCACGCCCGCTTCGGGGAGGTGCGGCCCTACTTCTACCTGGGGGGCGCGCGGGGGGACGGGCCCCCTGAGCCTTTGCGCATCTGCCCCCTGCGCATCACTGTCAAGGAGGAGCTGGATGGCTGAGGCCGGCCAGAGCCTGCCCCGCGCCACCTGGCACTTGGGTCCTGGTCCTGCTTCCTTTGTGTCCGTCTTCCTCAAGCCGTGCTCACCTCAGTACCTCTGAACCGTCCGCCTCCTTGCCAGGATCTGCCTGCTGACCAGTCCTGTTCTTCTGCTGTGGCTCCAGGCCCCAAGCCGCCTCCTTCATTTCTGAAGTCATCCGGGGGACACCTCACTCCCCAGAGTCCTGGCCCCTTCAGGATGTGAATTTTCTAACTCCGAATTCCAGGATGTCTGGGGATGATGTTTGCTTCTAGAAGAATGGGCCCATTTTAGCATGTGGGTTTTATTATCTGGGTATGGTGAGGCTGCAGTGGGAAAGAGTTGGTTATTTACAATTCCCAAGAGGAAGGCCCCACCACGTGGGCCGGGGGAGCCACCAGGGAAGCACCAGGCCCCTTAGGAAGCAGAGGGAGTTGAGGAAGCACCAGGTAGGAGACTTTGTTGTGGTTTTAGTGACAGAACAGGCTTGGGAGGGCTCTGTCTGGGTAGACAGGTTTGTGATCTGCTGGTTGGAATAATTTTGGCGGGCTCTGGGGCAGAGGGGCTGCCCCCAGTTGTCAGGGATGACGGGGATGGGGGTGGGGGGGGGATGATCAGGAGGGAGTGTTAGAGCCCTGTGAGAGGTAAAGGAAGTGGTTGGGAGTTTAGCCCAATAGCTTGGATTGGTTGGTTTGCATATGAAAGGCGTGCACCCAGGGGAGTTGATTGCTTTCCCCGGGAATTGGCTAGCCCTGGGAGGAGCAGTTTCCCTGTGGTCGGAGTATCAAGAATACGGAAAATAAGAAAATCTAATTCATACAGTGCCGCTGCTATGGCTTTGGGGCAGGACCCAGGCCCAAGTCTGTCACTTTATACCAGTCTTTTAAAACCGCTCCACAGAGCCCCCTCTTGTCCCCTCAGGGCAGAGGCAAGCCTGCTCAGGTCAGCTCTGATTTATCTATTTACACGCTTTGAAAGACTGTTGCAAACATGATTTTAAAAACCACAGTTTAGACCCGTTCCTGCTGTGGGCCTCGATTCCCTCATCTGTAAATGAGGTAGGAGGAGTGGAAAATTATGTCCTGTAGTTACTGTGAAGGAAGCAGCTCTGATTCATTCTTACAAAGTCATGAGAAAGGAAGGAAAGAGGGGTCCTTTTTAGTGAGGAGGTAGGAAAGGGAGGATTTGGTCCGGGGAGGGGGGCCTGGAGGGAGAAGGGCGGAGGTACCTCTCTTGGCCTTTGCTGGCCTCAGCCTGCTCCTTCTCGCTCTATTGCCCCCTGTGTTTTCATCCTGATTTCGTCTGCCTCTGCCCTGCCGTGCCTACGGACCTGCACCTCCACCTTTTCTTCCTCGCACCTGCCTGAAGAGTGTTTTTAATTGTCAGCTGTCCTGTCCTAGGAAACAGCACGGTGGAAGGAAATACTGGCCTGTAGGGGTGGTGGTGGTCTCATCAGGAGCATGTTCCTGACCGAGAACTCAAGATTCTCCTGCCTGTGCCCCCGGTAAACAGAAAAGGACATTTAAACAGAAAGGACGATTCAAAACCATGAGGTGGTTATAAACATGATATGTACGATTGGTGGGGGGCACAGGGAAGGACGCGGTAGGAGATGCTACTGGGTGAAGGGGACCAGGTTGGAATGTTGGCAGACTGGCATGTGCACGTCCCATCTGAAGGCAGTCAGTCTCAGGGAGCTCAAGGCACTTTGGCGGCCAACACATATGAGACCAGTGTGCATTCTCTAAAGTATTAATCTAGCCCATCAAATATAATCTCTAGGACAATCTTGACCTGGAATTCTTTTGTTAGTTATAATAAACTTTTAAAAATGTTTTTTATTTCCAACTTAGATATTGGAAAGGGGTTTTTGAATAGGATAATTTGGATAGACTGGACCTCTTTTTTTTTTTTTTTTTTTAAATAAAAATGATATTTGAGCTAAAACCCACTTTTTCTTTTGACATTTTCCTTTCGACATTTTCCTTTCGGTGTTCTCGTGAGCATAAGTTCATCCATATTGTAGCATGTATGTGACCTTATTCCCTTTCATGATCAGGTAATATGCCATTCTTCAGCTAATGAACATTTACATTGTTTCCATTTTTGGCCATTACAAATAATGTGTGGACATATGTTTTGTGTGGATGTATGTTTTCCATGCTCTTGGGTATCTGTCTACCTAGGAGTGGGTTTGGTGGTGCATGCATGAAACTCTGTTTAACCTTTTGAGGAACTGCTAGGCTATTTTTCAGTGGAGCTGCGCCATTCTTTATAATCATCAGAGGTGCACAAGGGTTCCGTCGTTCCATATCCTTGTCAACACTTGCTATTGTCTGTTTTTTAACTTAGCCATCCTAACGGGGGTGAAGTGATATCTCATTTTGGTTTTGATTTACATTTCCCTGATGACTGATGATATTGAGCATCTTTTCATGTGCTTGTTCGCCATTTTTGTATCTTCCTAGGAGAACTGTCTTTAGATCCTTTGCCCATTTTTGACTGGGTTACTTGTCTTTGTATCATTGAATTATAAGAGTTCTTTATACATTCGGAATACAAGTCCCTTATCAGATACATGATCTACAAATTTTTTCTCCCTTTCTGTGGGTTGTCTTCACTTTCTTGCTGATGCCCTTTGAAACACAGAAGTTTTTAACTTTGATGATGTCCAGTCTTACTTTTTCTTGTTACTTGTACATCCTAGAAATCTCCCTTTCAACACTGCCCTTAAGCCCAGGTACCCCAATTTTTGGATTTTGGCATGGGCATGGGGCAGGTCACCTGTTGACAGAGAGCCCTAGTGCACAAGTTTCTTCTTTTGAACCCTTTCCTACCCTTGCCTTCTACTCTTGCTCATCCCCATGTTAGTTTCCTCCTTGTTACTACATCCAGGCTGAAGGCTGCAGTCCACTGGGCAGCCTCCCCTTCTCTGTCTCCTCTTACCTTCAGTCCATCCCATGTGTTGATGCCAGAAGCATCAGTCTCGCCTCTCACCCAGGTGACCCTGCTCCTACCTGCCCTGGTACATTTCTCCAGGGTGCAATTTGGAGTTCATTACCCAGCTCCACTTCTGTTACCTGGAGTCCCTGACGCCCCCTGCCCCCCC